GGGTTTAGGGGTTTTTGGGGTTTCGGGTTTAGGGGTGGAGGGTTGAGGGTTTGAGGGTGTAGGGTTTAGAGGTTGAGGGTTTAGGGTTTAGGGGCGTAGGGTTTAGGAGTTTAGGGTTTAGGGTTTAGGGTTATGGCGCTAGTGTCACCAAGTGTTTAAGACTGTCGGGTTTTGGGTCCTCAGGTAGCGGGCTCAAGGTTTGGCTGGTGCTCCGGGCTTAAGGTTCAGGGGCTTCACGTTCAGGGCTCAACCCTGTGTGAAGGCCCAGGAAACTTGCCCTCAAGATATCTATTTTGCTCATTTTACTAGCGTGTCATCACAAGAAGGACCCGGAAAGGAGCCACAGAGAAGAGCTCTACTGGGTCAGGTCATAGGTATCCGAAGAAGGAGCCGACATCGGGTCGTCCGTGCGTTCTCACTGGGTACCTAAGCCGTCGAGCGAAGCCAACAGATCCTACACCCTCAGCTAGGGTTTAGGGTGTAGGGTTTAGGGATTTAAAGGTATTGGGCCTAGGTTTGCGACCTTCGACAGCCATTTTGCCAATCGGAACTTGCCTCTCCCGATCTTAGCAAGTCCCTTTCTTCAGACATGAGCACGGGCCTAAGCCGCAATGACAAAGAAACAGAAGTCCTAAAACCCGAAACCCTAAACCTTAAACCCTAAACCCTGAACCCTAAACCCTAAACCCTCAATCCTAAACGCAAAACTTGATGACGATTCCTTGGATGTAGCGACTTCGGGGTTTTTCTCGGGCTGCGTCCGAGTGCCGGCAGGTGAGGCAGATGACGAGATGCTTCAAGGCGAGCCGGTTTGAACTTCTTTGAGGTTTAGGGTTTAGGGTTTAGGGTTTAGGGTTCAAGGTTTAGGGTTGAGGGTTGAGGGTTTAGGGTTTAGTTTGCGGTTTAGGCCCTAAACCCTGAACCCCAAACTGCTCAGCGGTTTAGGGTTTGGGGTTGAGTGCATATTATGTCTGCGGTCGTCGTGCCTCCTCGCAGGCTCCTCCAGTTGCATTGCTTTTTGTTCGCTCGTCCGCGCAAACAACAGACGAACCCGATCACTCGTCGTAATCTTGCACTTACAATCACGTTACACAGGAACCCAAATCCAAGCGAAAACGCTAAGCCTGCGTACAGCCTAAGAAAGCGCTGGTACAACTTTATTCGGAACGTTTTTCTGAACCCTGGGCCACAGCCCAAATCTTCAACTAACTTGATATCCACCCTCAACCTTAGGCCCAAAACCCTATACGCGCCAAGCTCCAGCAAGACAGAACGGGTTGCTACTATAAAGGTTGCCATGAGGGTTACTATAAGGCTTACTATAATTATGGATTGTTCTAAGAGTTACCATCGGATTCGCTATAATCATGAGAAGGGTTACCATATAGGGTTACATGGTTGCTCCAGGCGGGGCCACCCCCAACAAACCTCCCGGTTTTGCGCTGTTGTACACATCTTGGTTGAGAAGCCCTCGCAATTACGGTGTTTCTTCAGTTGCATGATTTGCATAGCAAATAGCTTTCTTTGTGCCTTCCCGTACAAAAGGTACCTCCTTTTTTTTTCGGGGTCTTCTTCTCGCATGCACTTGTACTTGTCGCCTGAGCTGAAAGACACATGTTCAAGATGTCTTGTCCCAGCGCAACCATGATGACATCCGTGGGACTATTGCATCCGTTCGTCCCAGAGCATCCATGGACCATCCATGATTACGGCAGAAGCAATGAGCTTTTGAACACTAACGCCTGTGACTATCTTGGGGGGTTCCTTATTATAACTATAGTACCCCTATATTAGTGCTCGTCAACTTTTTCTGGTGGGGCAGTACTTTCCGTAGGCCCCAGTTGCTGCAAAACTTTAGGGTGTAGTGTAGTGTTTTAAGATCTCCTGAGGGGTTCCTGGAAGGTTTCAGATCCTTTCTTCAAGATGCGTGCATGCCTCTTTTTAAGCCCTCATGAACGAATGCTCTTTGGTAATGTACCTTAGTCAAGGGATTTGGCAGTAAACCCTGAACCCAAAACCTCTAAAGCTGACCTGCGGACCTGAAGGCTTGCAGCAGTTCATGCTCACCCTGCAGCTGGCGGCAAACGGCAATCAGCTGGTGCGCACTGCATTTAGGATTCAAAGTTCAGGATTCTAGGCCTCGAAGTAAACCCTAAACCCCAAACCC